CTGGAACAGGCTGCCCAGGGAGGTTGTGGAGTCTCCTTCACTGGAGACATTCAAAACCCACCTGGATGAGTTCCTGTGTGATGTACTCTAGGTGACCCTGCTCTGGCAGGGGGGTTGGACTAGATGATCTTTTGAGGTCCCTTCCATCCCCTAAGATTCTATGATTCTATGAAATTTCTCAATGTAAAAAGCACATATAGAAAAAAAGTTTCTATTATGCCTCTTTAAGACAGCTTAAAAATAGGTACCATACCAAAATTACCTCATCTACATGGTCCAAAACACATATATTTCTTAGACTACGTAAAAGTTCCTTGAAATAGATTCTGTATTAACTGGGATTAGAGTTTATGTTATTGTTTTTATAAATAAACTGAAAAGCTACTCTATGCATATAGTAGCTTCTGAAGTAATTTACTGTATTTGTGACTCACAAGAGCTTCTTACTGCTCCACAAAGTACTACTTCAACACACCAGACAAAAGAGTAAGCCTAACATAAAGAGCACAGTACCTTATTCTATTAAAAAAAATATATGTGGCAGAGGAAATGCTACTTAGGAGTGAGTGCTACTATGGGACTTGTTTTCCGCTGCTTCCATTTTTACTAAACTTCAATAATTCAGTATGATTTTTTCAGAATGGGGTGGTTAACTGTAAATTTAGCACTTTTTGGCTGGTTCATTTAAAAGACAGTACGCTCTTTTTTTTCTTTTTTTTTCTTTTTTCTTTTTTTTTTTTTTCCCCCAAATGATTGAATACAGATTTGGCATGTTAAAAAAAATATATTAAAAATCAGTTTTTTAAGAATGCTTGAATAATGCATACAGAAACCTGTGGTTCCCCTGTCAGTCATGCACTATGAATTAGTTTTTCCAAAAAACAGAAATATGTGGCTAATATGGAAACTTTTTGAGATCAGAAAATCATTGCTAAGTTTTCAGCAGATATCTGTTTTAAGGGTTGGCAGTTCAAACTGCTGTAAGCACTGTGCTCATTCTTCCAAAATTCAAGAAAGTTGAAGATAAGCTTGCATTTCAGTGTCTGAAAAGCACAAAGTAAGGCTCCTAGTAATATAGCCTGAATAAGATTATAATAACCAGCAAAGCTGCTGGTTCTCCCTCTCACCCTCCTGATTTGCATTAATTAGTAACGAAGGAGTGCAGAAAAACACACTGTAATTTGTATTCCCGGGTGTTCTTTATAGTGATCAGTATTTTTAGTACTGCTAACCCAGAACCAAATAAACATAAAAAGATTACAATAGTTTAAGCTTGACAGCTTGTTGTCTTTCTAAAGGGAGTTATCTTCCTTGCTGAAAACCACCTCATTTCCTACATATGTCCTGACATTATGACTAGGGACAGGAGCACTGTTACTAAGTGGTGCAGGGACAGACTCAGCAATAGCAATGTGTAATGTGCTTGGAACGCAAGTGGCCATACGCAGGACTGCATGTGGCATAAACAGTGCAGAAGAAAACAGGAACTACTTTCACCTATCAACTGAAAGAAATCCCAAGTTCATCAGACAGGCAGCCTATTATAAAGTCTACCAAACATTTGCTAAGGAACAAGGAAATATGCATAATTATTAATGAAACTTTATAAAGCTCTTCCCCCTCCCAATATGCCTATCATCTGGCTTCAGAATGCAATTAATCACTGTATGATTCTAGTAATTTTAATTTTTGTTTTTTATCAGACAAACTAAAATGCAGGCCATCCTGAATTCTGAAGATGCTACTTCATGTAACTCACAGAACAGATCTCTACATTAAAATACTCATAGCAGAGGCCAAGAGACTAGACATGTGGCAAAAAAATACTATTGTTGGGATTTCTTCACCTTTGCTTCAAACAACAAATTCCTGCATCATATCTGATGCCCTCATCTCAAAGATTAGTCCTCCCTCTATATTAAAATAGTTTCACCAGTGAAAAGGGTTCTTAGAAGATAAGAAATACACAAGCTCTAAGGCAAAGTAAAATAAAGTCAATGTAATTCAACTGCACCGCAACAATCACATTATCCACATAAAAACAACTAATCCCTATCAGAGCTGTTGTCTATTTTTATTACTTCTACACTTTCACATCTGAACTGTTCCATTTTCTTGGTATGATTAGCGGCATGTCAAGCATCCAGTGCAAAGATAAAGAACATTGATCTAAATGCTGCCTAAGAGTCTTCTGACAGCAAATTAGATTGCAGCTGCGAAGATCATATTTACGTGTAACTTTGGGTCTTGATTCAGGCATAAAGATGCCCAGACTTTTCAGCCTAGTCACTTGTAGAACCACAAATTTTACACAGCAACTCAAAGAAACCACATAGTATCTGCTCAGAAAGCAAGAACTGGAACCCAGACAATAGCTTTTAGGTTCAAACTCCCTCCTTCTAAAAGGCACACATACAGCACAGTCTCTTCCTCCCCTTCAGCTATTTCCTGTATTTTTTACGCAATGTTGGCACTTCAAGTATGGGATGGTGTAGTTAATCATTGTCTCAGCACATGTGACTATAAGAAAGACTATGACTCTACAATCCTACTGGGCTGTTGATTTAGAAAGTCAATAGTGAATAATAGATTGATGTACAGCAAGCAGAAGGGAGACTTACAGAATTTAAGCTTGACTTGTGTTTGCCTTCTAAGTTTATTTTGCTCAGAAAAAATGCCTTAATATTTACATGTTACTATTACTAAAACAAGTTCATCTTTTATGATGGTTTTCTACACTACATCAGTCATTTCCTTCCAACAAACAACATTTATCACTCTCAAAAGCAACACAAAGAAAGCTATCCCTAATTAAAGATTTCAATAAGCTTTTTTTTCAGATTTTTTAAATCACGAAGGAACATGGGAGAGTAAATTCACCTAACAGGATTTTCTAGTATCTCAGTTTCCAGTCAGAAAGAGGAAGTGATTAGCTAAATCAAAGAAATTCCTCTGCTGCTTACCTTTCCTATTGAGTTTTTAATATATATTGCACATTACTTAAACTTGCATGTATTCATATTTTCTGTCTTTTGCCCATTGAAACCAATAGCTTGGTTTCCTTCAAGGGAAAGAAAAAAAAAACAACCCACACGAAGACCTGAACAAGGTTGGTCAACCTCACTATTCCCTTCCAACTTTTCTGCCCAGCTTTTATACAGGTAGCTAGCTATCATGCACAAAGAGGTGGTAATGCTGATGGCTCGAAATTTATTTCCTGGTGTGAGAACTACTTGGCAGGTTAGATTCCATTTCTATCATAGCAATTTATTTTTCTTATGCTTATTTCCCCATTTAGTCAATAGCTGTTTCCTCTTTTCACATACTCCTCTCCAAAGACAAGTGCAAGTCAACCAGTGTTTACAGTATGTCCATACATTCTCCAAAGAAATTAACAGCTATGCAATACAGACATACATAAACACTCATAAAGTCTATAGTCACAAAATACTCCATGTGAGTATTACATACACACTGTCAGGTCAACTGCATTAACAAAACATCATCCTCTGTACGCTCACGTAACCTAGTATTAAATTATTTAACAACCTGCCAAAAGCAGTTCAGAATGTATTCAAGTAAACACATGAACCTACGCCTACTAACTTGGCACACAAATAATCCCTAGCTTAAACTAGCATTATAGTGCTCACAAGTAAGATGTAATGATGGGGTTTCAAAGAAGCCTCACTGCCTGTTTGGAAGTTTCTAATTATGTGTGAACTAATGGGTATTTTGATCTAATCTATTGAAAGCAGCTCCTACTACTGAGCATGCATCAGTGGTCTATTCTGATGTAAATGAATGCAATGTCAATGTCACCCATTAAACTTCCTTGTCAGAAGCACAGCTGATACCGATTCCATCAAGGCTGAACGCAGCACTTCTGATTACCTACCTCTCTCAGAAAAACAAAACTCCACAGGATCTCCAGTGCATGACTACAAAGTAGTTAAGAGTAGATCAGTGCAGCCTAACGTGAAACTGTGATCCAAGACAGCAGCTTTTCAAGACTTTACCCTATCATTCTACTTTATGGTGCATTAAGAACAAAAACTAACCAAACTGATACTGTTACCTGACATTTTCAGATGGCTACTGCTTTATCTGTATCTCCCCTCTTAGCTTCAAGTCACAACTCAGCGTTTAAGCTCAGCATTCACCCGTTCTGTTCTTACTGCCGTCCCACATTCTTAACTAGTGTGGCCACTGAAAAAAGGTATTTATCCTCACAGCCAGTCGATGAAGTAAAGCTGATGTTCAGAGTTAATAATATCTGAAGTTTAGGGAAATGTGAATTATCATACAGGATGTACTTAATGAGAGGAAAGAAATGGAGAAACAGATCAGACATTCGGGTATAAATATGAATAACTTTGTGGTATACCATCTTATTACAGTGGAGTTCTAAATGTTCTCACTGAATGCTATTTGCTTTCATCTCTAGAACTACTCCAGCCTCCATGCTGACTTATGTAATATGCTTTACATAAAGCGTATATTCAGATAACATCATGCATATTCCTCAGCTCAGTGCTGCAAACAGCTTTTCTGGAAAACACTGTGTAGAACAAGCACCCACTATAAACAAACTCCAAGATTCAGAAATTAACAACACAGTGTGTCTTGCCCTGCCCCAGCTCTTCCTTCTTTAACGTGGGGTGCAGGTTTTCCCAGTGCTGTTGTAGGCTGTTACCCAAGTACAGCAGAGAGGCAGCACATTTTGCTGCAAGCGTGTTTTCACCTCAACCCATGTCTCCCAGAGTAATGCTGTAATAAAGACTGATCATTAGAGGAAAGACATATGGATCTTCTACAAGCTGAAGCTACTGTATTTAATAATCCAACATCACTTACGTAGTGCACAAATGCAGCAAGATAAAAAAATTAAGCTAAAAATCATACTGTAGCTTTACAGGATAATATTGGATTGGACAGTGTATTACAGTAGTCAGAGATAGGCTAAATACCCAGAAAAAATAGTAATTCAGCTGTGATTTATACGCAATCCACTCTCAGCAGCTCTGAGAATTCTGATCTATTGAACAAGTGAGAGGTGGAAACAAAGAACACCCCACTCCTGTATCAGTTCCTGTGATCAAATTGCTGCTATTTCTTCCCTTCCCTCATCATATCTTGAACATTTGGCACAAATGATCATTCAGGACTACACAATGCATAGATGCAAAACTGCCATCATTCAGCACAGTCTGTATCTGAACTACAACATCAATCACCACCTAGTCTTTGTTAGTCTAACTTATTTTCAGATTTCTCAAATAGCAGAGTCTGGCATACTCATCATTATAAAAGCCCTGTGTATTCCTTAGCACTAGAATTTGTATGTGACAGTACAACAGAAAAAAAATGCATCCTTTCCCTTTGCCACACACTAACCCCCTAACAGGAAGTACCTTCCTTCAAAAAGCTTCTTGCCTGTGTTCAGCCACCTCCATGAACTGGAAGGCAGAGAGAGAAAACAAATGAGTAATTTGAATAAAAAAAGAAAAATTACACATATTATATCACAGTTAATGCCCACAGTCAATCTTGGCTACACTCAAAAGCTTTTGCAAATATATTTATTTATTTGAGTTCATGGTATTGTGTAGCCAGTTCTGCAAGATATAAAGCATTTTTAAAAGAGAAAACTACCCATGAAGTATTAAAGAGATTGCTTCACTTACAAAACTGATGAGAGAACTGAGTTTCTCTTGGAAGACCTTTCAGATATACTAACTCTCTAGGATATTTTTGTGTGTGTTGTGTGTAGAGGCCAGACAGGAAAACAGTCTCCTATCAGGATCTTTCAGTGACTCACACAATGAGTAACAATTGTGCTGCTCAGAGCCCCAGGAAAGCAGGGTGTTCAACTTGCAGAACTAGTCTTTCCACATCTTAAAAAAAAAAAAATCCAACCCCCTAAATCTACCACAAAAAAAACCACAAAACAAACTTTCCTCTGTTGCCATTACTTGAACTTCCTACATTCTTCCCCTCCTCTTAGTTCTTTTCGACAACCCAGTCATGTTTAGTTAAAGACATACTGACAAAACAGCAATAGCACCAGACAGCCTCTTCTACAATGCTAACCCTGTGTTTTATTAATACTTTTCAGTTTAGCTTTTATGACAAAACATTCCACTTTTGTGTTGTTACTACTCAGGCACACTACCTGGTCTTCATCGTCTCGCATGCTGCTATTATATTACCACAGCTACAAGCACAGAACATGTTGCCAGAGTACATGGTAAAACCCTCCCCTTGTTTAAAAACAGAAAGACAACAAAAGTCTTTTGTAACAACAGTGTGAAAATACCAAAGCATGATAAAGTGTGTAGCAAAAGCACTGACAGAACAGCTGAAGACACATTTCTATGTAACCACTTGGAAAGGCTCCTTGTAGATTTTCTCTAATGCCTGAAAGCAAGCATGAATCGTTTCAAGTTCTCTCACAAGTATGCAAAGTGAAATGTGGTATGGTTGGTGGAGCACAGTTGTTAAATAAATTCTCAAAATATGAAGATGTCTGAAGTAATGCCACATAGCCGCTAAAAAGAGAAGATTTGTTCTTTGAGAAGAACAAGTGTATTTCAAGAAGTCACTTAACACAGCAGGGAACGTTTACTTCCTGTCCTCACTGCACAAACAAACATGCTGTATTTCAGTCTACCTCTTAATAATATTTTGGCTTAATGAGGGCCTTTAATGTCATAAATATGATTCAAGCATCAAGCGATTTGTTCATGCAACAGCCTATGACACAGGGCCACAGAGCAGCTATCTGACACCACGGACTATCAGGCTGGAAGGACACCAAGGATCATCGGGTCCAACCTTTCCTGGCAAAAGGACGGCCTAGACAAGCCAGCCCAGCATCATATCGAGTCAAATTTTAAGTGTTCAATATAAGGGAATCTAACACTCCCCTGGGGAGATTATTCCAATCGCTGACTGTTCCGTCAAAATTTTTCCTTGCGTTCAACGGAATCTCTCCCGAAGTAACTTGTACCCGTTACCGCTGTCTTTTCCATGTAACTTCTTGCAAAAAGGAAATCTTAATGTCTTTTGTAGCTGCCCTTCAGGTACTGCAACATGGTGATGAAGTCTCCCCTAAGCCTTCTTTCCTCAGTTCTCTCGGGATTCCTGCTCCTTTGGTCACCCCGCCGCCGCCCCCAGGCCCGCCCCGCG